TTGTAGAAATATCTGGGTGAGGAAAGTCAAGGCTTCAAACTTCTTCAAAAAATGTCGACAAACTAAAATAGCAGTTCTAAAAAGGGGTGGGGTTTTCCTAAGATTGCAACAGTAAACAATCAAATTAAGGTGCACCTCCAAATTTTATCGTAACATGCAATTTTAGTATAAAAATTTATTAAGATGACTTGGAAATTTATTTTTATATCTAAATATAAAATTTCAAATTCTAGAAATGGTTTAAATCAAGTAAATCTATAAACATATGAAAATATTGAAAATTGATGGTCCAAAAAAATGCATTGCAAGATGCCCTATTTTTGGGACTTGAAATCTTTTTTGTTTTTGTTTTTTTCATTTTCAATTATCTCGATGTTGAGATGATCAATTAGATGGTTTTTTAGTATTAAAACAACCTTTTCTGATGGATGTTTGAGGTGCACCTTAGTTCTACATTTTAAGGTTGCAACCTTGTATAAAATTTTCCTCTTAAAAAGTAACTAGAAAGTAAAGATTTAGTGGGTCTAACATGCATGTGAGTACCAGTTGAAGGTCTGAAATTTCATATGGGATTGTGTACAATGAGACCATTTATCTTTAGTACAGGTAGATCACAATTATTTACAACCATATGATATGAAATGTGATAACTTGGGTGTGTCACAAAATTCGAAAAAATTTCCTTTGAACTTTGAACTTGGTCAATGAAATAAATACAACTACCCAATTTCACATCTAATGGTCAAGATTAAAATTATGACTACCTTATACCCAAAGTAAATAGTCTCATTACATATTTTCCCGTTTCATATTCATATGTTTCCAAATAAAGCTAAATTTGAGAAAATAAAAAAGGAATTTTTAATCCTCATTTGATATTTGTGTGAGGAAATGATTTAAACAAACGAACAATAGAAGCCTAAAATTTTGTGAGTGTTTTGGTGTTATTTACTGAAAAAGTTCAGGGCTTCTTAGTCATTATAAAAAAAAAAGGTTCAATAACTGTTTCTGCCATGGCTGCTGTACAAGGAACACAAACCAACAACTTCACTAGATGGGGCCAAAAGCCATGTTTCACTTTTGGGGTCTGGCCTTTACTTTTCCAACTTTTTTTTTCCCTTCTTTTTCCTTGTTTTATTATCTAAAGAAAATATTCAAAAATAACTAACTTTTGTATTTTTGTAAAATTTAATTTTAAATCATCGTTACAAAAATAGATTTTCCCCCTGTTTTCCTGCCCATGGTTTAGAAGTCACCTGGTTTTGTTAAAAAAGCCCATGAAAAGATGGTGAGCTGATAAGAACCAAAATTAGTGGCATTATTTCTTCTTTGAGAATATTTTATAATTGACATTGTTTCTTGTTTAAGAATATTTTATAAGTGACATTATTTCTTGTTGAATAATATTTTTTTTATCTTTCTCTTTTAAATTTGCCAACTTATTTATTTCATAAAATTGGAAAATGAAGCTAAAGGGATAAGATCATTACAACATTGTACCAGCTTGATGCATGTGAATCCGAGGTACTTTTATAATATATTAATGAATTGTGGGGTAGTGAGTTGGAATAACACAATCTATTGCCATTGTACTTCCTCTCTCTTATTCAGTTCCTTGGGGATATTTTCTCTTGAGTGCTCTCTGTCACTGTAAAGGTAAAATGATTGTATGCTCCTGCGGGAGCAGCACATCTTTAAGCACGTTGAGGATCTTTAGGATCTCTAATCTGGGGATGTACCTTCCTCAAAGAAATAAAAAGTCTATATACACTTTGCACATAACTCCAAAAATAATGTTTTGGGATTGAATAGAAAGCGTCTAATTTTTGGAGCACTGAATTTGAGTATTTAAGAACTTTACTCATCTGATCATTTTAAAGTGGATCCAATATTTCAAATTGGAAAAATTATCCAAAATGGTTCCAAACAAAAGTGATTCCTAACAAAACACACACACACTCTCTCTCTATTATGCAAAGTGGTTCCAAACAAAAGTGGTTCTTAACAAAACACACACTCACTCTCTCTCTCTCTCTCTCCTCTCTCTCTCTCTCTCTCCATCCAAATTTGATGTACTATTAATAATGCTATGCTCTATTTATATCTGACCATTGAATGCCCGTTCCTTGAATAAGCAAGTATACTATGCTCTCCCACGGGAGCATACTGTGCTTTTACACCCTCGAGCAAAAACCCTAGTATGGGCGGACCTTTTTTACTTGAAAAATTTACAATCCACATTAGGATCAACATATGAGTACTCCTCAAAAATAAATACAAAAATTGCACTTGGAAAAAGAGTTTTGTGCATCGGGAATGCAATCTTGCATTTGCATCACAGCACATCCATATTGAAGAAGTGTAAATTGGTGGTCCCATTAAAATAAAAATAAAAAAAAACGGGTCTGAAAACATTCTTCAAAAAATTAGCTTTTTTAGTTTTTAAAATTTATTTTTGTCATATTCATGATCACCATCTTAGAGATTATATAATCCTAAAAAATTGGTTAAAAACTCCGTCTCAAAATTGGATCATGAAGAGTGGACGCATTTCTATATGAACCGGTAGACTCGTAAAAATTGTATCCGATACATTTTGAGTTTTTTTTTCGAAAATTCTTTTACATTTTGAGTTCTTAGACGTTAGTTCTTACTATCCAAACATTATAGGAAAATGTTATATAATGTCGCAACCTTGTAATATAGAAGTAAGGAGTACCTCAAAACTCTTAGAGAAGAGCGTTCCGAAGTTGGAAAACCTTCTAATTAATCATTTCAACCTCGAGATGTATGGGTAAAAAGAAAAAAAATCAAAGTCATAAAAGTGGTGCATCTTATAACAAGTTATCTAGACTGCCTGTATTTCAAGATTTCAAATATTTATAAATCCGTTGGTTTTTTAATTTAAAATTTTATAATTAAGGTTGAACAAGCCATTGTAAAGTTTCCAACACGGGAACAACATCTTCCAGCAAAATTTAGAGATACACCTTTCTTGTATATTATAAATAAGGTGGGCACCTTATACAATACCCTCCTAAAATGAAATGGTTACTATTGATATTTCTTATGAGGATGTTATTTTCAAGCACTTCATGAATTTTTTTATTTTTTATTTTTTAAGTTGGTAACTTAGTGAAGTTTGTTACACCCCCATATAATTGGGGTCCTAAATGCTCAAAGTTTTATAAACCTAAGAGGGAATCTCCCAAGGGAAAGTCTCCCATCCACATCAGGACATCATGGAAAGTGGAATGGGGCACAAGTATCCTTCCAATGGTTCAGATTAAACATGATCACGTCCAATTATCACAAAGTGTTCTATATTTTTTTTTTATTTTTATTTAAAACTTATATTTATTTAAAATTTGGTTATACAAGTATATTTTTATATAGGGAATCACAAAAAATATTTTGAACGAAAAATACCAAAATAAAGTTAAATTGTTTCAAAGGTATTTTGATTAATTTTTCATTCAAAATATTTTTCATTATTTTATTTGATGCTTCATATAAAAATACATATGTACCCCTAATTTCTGATAAATATTATTTTGAGTAAAACTAAAATACAAATTTTTTTGGGACCATTAGATGATGCTATCACACTAAGTTCAATGTACCCCTAATCTCCTAAATGCTCCCGGAAAAGCCTAGAATCTTATGTCCTCTTATGTAATACTTAAATAACGGCTAAATGAAGTGTCTGCTGCTTTGGGTTAAATGCAATAACGGCTAAATGAAGTGTCTCCTGCTTTGGGTTAAATTGCCCAAGTTTCTTCTTGGGTGCGGTTTGGATAGGCTCTAAACAATCAAAATAAAGCGCACCTTCGAATAGGGTCGAGAAAGGTAGTTTCAATACTGGAAATCTTTGTAATAGATTTAAAATATATTTTTATCTTTAATATAAAATTTAAAGCTTAAAAAATAGTGTAGATCGAACAGATCTATGAAAACTTGAAAATATTGAAAAACTTGAAAGTTGACGGTCCAAAAATGAGTTACAAAATGCACTATTTTCTAAAATTTAAAATTCATTTTTTCTCATGTCCATGCATGTTGATGTCGAGATGATCATTTTGAAGATATTTAAGCATCAAAACTACCACTTCTAATGAAACGTTTTAGGTGAGCTTTAATTTGATTTTATAGAGCCTTAGCTCTATATAACCTTTTTCCTGGTTGTAACGAGCTCTTTTAACGGAGGGAGCAAGTGTACAATGTGCTTCCGCCGAAGCTGTTAGCGCCTTCGAAGAAATTGAGACTTGCGCTGCAAGAAATACAGATAATAAAAACAAGGGAACAATGCCAGTACAACATCATAAAAGAAGGCCATTGGGCCTCATTAAACGCAGGATTAAGACTCTCTAATTTGATTGGTAAGTTTAACAATTAAATTAATGGCGTGGAGGAAAATAAATTAAATTTTGTGACTTTTGTACTCAAATCTAGTGGCCAATGTCATGTGCACGGCACAAAAAGTGGGACCCCATCTAAAATAAGAGGGAAGAGAGAGAAATCAATTTACAAGTTAAAGATCCTTTTTATTTCATGATTACTTATAGAAGGAAAACGTTTATATAGAAGGCCTCATGAATGTTGTACCATAAAAAGAGGCGCCTCAAAAATCCAAAGAAAAATGTTGTTTTAGCTTTGGAAAATCCTTTATTTCGAGATACATAAATATGAAAAAGAACCTAATTTCAAAACGAAAAAGTAATGCATCTTGTAATATATTATCAAGATTGTAATTTTAAAAAGTTTTTTTAGTGTTTATAAATCCACTTGATTTGCATCATTCACGAGCTTTAACTTTCATAGGAATAGAAATAGCTTTTCCAGTCAATGATATCTTTCAGCAAGATTTGGAGATGCACCTTACTCTAAACGTTTAAGGCAGAAGTTTTTATATAGACCTCAATGATAATAGTAGGTAATTACACTTTTGTCGCAATGATGTTTCCAATGGGCATAAGAATTTATAAAATGAAAAATGAAAATAAAGTAAAGCAACTCTTCATAATGAAATTTATTCTTTACAATGTCAGCTGATCGAGGAGAGGAAATAATAACCAAAACCCTCAACACATGGGAAAAAGACCAAAAAAAAAAAATACAAAATAGAGGCAAATAACCAAACTTAGCCCAAGCCCTTAAATTTGGCACAAAGTAAGTCGAGGGTTAGCCTAGATGAACTCAAGCAACTGGGGGGCACCTAAGGTTGGAGAACTCGCTAGACAAACCAGCTCCTTGGTAACCAGAGCCCAAGTCTCTTCTTTTAGGGTTCACTTTTGGGGGTGTCCAGCTGCTAAAAATAGAAGATTTTGCACCATCTTTATCTTTTCCACTAAATATAGAGGCATTTCCATTACCATTTGCTTTGTTAAGTTTAGTGTCTATGCCAAATTTAGTGAAAGAAATGGTGGTTATTTTTTGATGTGGAGATAGATATTTGGATTGCATGTAAGTGGTTTTTCTCCAAGGTGGGATGTGAAGTCCTCTCTCTTGTAGTGATTGCTTTGAAGCATGGCAAAGGAGAGTGATGATCTTTTTGAGTTTGGATTCATTGCCCACAAATACATTGGGGAGAGAGTTGGAAAGCTTTGTGTATGTTGGAGTGGGCCTTGCTATTTCAAATTGAGACTTGAAATCAGTGTCAATTATGAGCCTTCTTGATCCATATTTATCTTTTGCCTCCAATGTTATGTCCAAGTATTCATAGAATCCTACAAGAAAAGAAAACAAGGGTTGGTTCAATACCATGAATAACACAATCTCTCAATCACTCATTCTCTCCCATAAAAATAATGCTCTCTCTCTCTCTCTCTCAACAGTCAGACCGCTAGCCAAGGCCTTGGCCAGTCCAGTCTAGTATAAAGAAAAAGCCGAGTTTAGTCGAAAACCAATCAAAACCAATGTTGGATCGAATTTGGTGGATCAGTTCCCCAGTATTCACTAGTTCCACTATCTTTATTTTTTTTAATTTTAAAAGATTTGGTTTAACAAATTGAACCTACTGTTAAATCGGTTTTAATCACACTTGTTCGATAGTATCTCCAATCCTAATATCATCTCTTTCTTTCTCTCTCTACAATGATTTTGACCGAATAATTTTACAAAAAAAAAAAAAAAGTATTTCAAGTAGATGGCAACAGCCAAATTTATGCTTGTAATTAGCATAGTACATCCTAAGATAGAAATTTTGGAAAGTAAGGCGTCAAAAACTTTGAAACATCAATAATAATAATAATAATAATAAAATCCATCACTAAAGTAGGGATTTTGAGTCCTCCATTAACCATGATTAACGAACACCAAAAATTTAGCCGAAATTTTGGATATGCATTACGATATGCATGCCTCAAAATCATAATGACGGTTTCCTCCAGATGATAGTTGGGGTGATGGAAAATTAGTGGGAGAAATAGTTATTTTTCAAAAAAGGGTGGTTATCAAACCGGGGCTCATAATGCACTCCAATTTTCAAAACTTTTTTTTTCCCTTTTTTAAATTTCCCAAAAGATAAAATCATGTAACTAGAGAGAGAGAGTCTTAGACTCAAAACTCTTTCTTTTTTCTTTTTTAATATTTCCCAAATGAAAAAATCATCGAGAGAGATAGAGACTTATAATCAAAAGATTCAAATTTTTCTTGTTTTTGAATGAAAAAATCTTGTACTGAGAGAAAGAGGTTAATTAGAATCAACAGGATTTTTCTTTCCTTTTTTTTTTTTAAAGTTGTCATGTGGAAAAACAAGAAAAAAATTATATAAAGTTGTAACTTTAAAATGTAGAATCAAGGTGCACCTATAAAATCTATCATAAAGTGTTAGTTTTGATATTGAAAAACCCTTTAATTGGTTATCTTGACATCGAGATATACGAATATGAAAAAAAAAAATTTAGAGTACTAAAAGTAGTATTCTTGCAACACATTATCCGGACCGTCCATATTCAAGATTTTCAAATGTTTACGGATCTACTTGATTTGAATGTTTTTGGAGGCCAAGATTTTTTAATTAGATATGAAAATAGATTATCAAGTCATCCTAATATTTTTTATACCAAAATTATATTTATGATAAATTTTGGTGGTGCACGTTAATTTGATAGTTTAGGGTTGCAACTTTATAGAAATCACATCCAACAAATAAAAATAAAAATTGTAATTAGAGAGAGAGTCTCATAATCAAAACTCTTTTTTTCCTTTTCAATTTCCCAAATGAAAAAAAGAAAAAAAGAAAAAAAAAAGAAAGAGTAATGGGAGAGAGACTCTTAGAACACTGAACTTAATATTTAGAGAGAGAAAGTATTTATCAGAAAATACTTAGAGAGAAGGAGAGAGAGCTGTTGAAACACTGGACTTGATATTGAGAGCGGAGGGGGAACTCTTTGACAATATTAACAATGTCTATTTCATCACTGCAAAAGGTCAAGGCCTTCAAAGTTCATGTAAACATGAACCATGGAAATGAAATGAACCCAACATGTAAAATTTACAGAGAGAGAGTGTGTGTAACCTCACCTCCTGGGCAATCTGAGCCAGAATATCTACAGATGGCTGCATCATAACCGTCCATTCTCAGCCTCATCATCAGCCCTCTCCTTAGATTGCATCTCTCTTCAAGCCCACACTGCTTCACATGCCTCATCACTCTCTCACCAACCTCTCTCTCCACCTCTGAAACACAATAAAGAATCCCCTGTTGCAACACCCGAAACCCTTCATCAAAACCAATCACCCATGCTCTCTCTCTCTCTAGATTTTTTCTTTTTGAAGTAAAAAAAGAAGATCCCAAATGAAAATTATGGTTTTTACAGACCTGCAACGTGAAGATTGCTTGGTTATGATCATGTTGGTTTTCTTGTGGTGAATCAAGGTGGGTGTCTGATGAACCTGATTCAATGAAATCATGGACCATTTGAACCAGCATCTCTTCTTCAACACTGTTTCCCATTCTCGCTCCCTAGATTTTTTTAAGGATATACTCTCTCTCCCTCTCTCTCTCTAGATTTTTGAAGGGGCTGAAGCTCTCACCCTTAAGGGAAAAATGGCTTTTGTAGAGGGAGGGTCTTATAAGTGTCGTAGGGTGGAAAAATACAGGGAAAGTGGCGTTAGGATGCGGACATGAGATGTCAGTTTTAGTGAGAGAGAGAGAGAAGTGGGGGCCACACGATGCGCGCTGGCTCATAAGGGAGGGAGGGTTCATGAAATAGGCTGGGCGCGGTATAGGTGTGGGCCGGCAGGGCCACAATATGTCTGTTCTAGAGAGAGAGAAAGAGTTACGATGTAGTGAGGGATTTTGTCGCCTATCGGAGTTTTATTTTTTTATTTGGTCAAAAAAATGAAGCAATTTTATGTTTGTTGTGGCAGATTTGAAAAAAAAAAAAATTTATATTTTTTTAATTTATTATAAATAAATTAAATATTGATATATAAAATAAAAAAAATTATTTAAAATATTTTTTTCTTTATACCGAAGAGGCTGGATTGGCCCAAACCAGATCCGAATCTAACCAAAACGCACCGAGGGAGGGCAGGTAAAGTTACAGTGTGTGATAAATGTATGCAGTAGTGAGAGAGATTGAATTGAAAGATAAAGAGAAAGGAAATGGGTTAGAATTCACGGGACCACGAAGACTTTAGTTTTCAGCTTTTTAGAGATAAAAAGCACAATATTTCAGTATGTTTCAATCGGAGATAGAGACATATTGCATAGAGAAAGTTGAGAGAGAGAGAGAGAGAGAGAGGACAAAATGTCTGTTTTAAGAGAGAGATAAAGGGGACAGGGCACGATTGGGTGATTTAGAGAGAGGATGGGGATTGAGAACAATTGTTGGCTTTTGAGAGAAATGCAAAGCACGAGAGGGGTTTGCATTTCTAGAAAGAGCATGGACCGGCAGTGCGCCTGCCAGCCACCAAGGCCACTCAAGCACATTTTATTTTTAAAAACTAGGGTTTGGGTAGCAAGTAAGGTAATAATAATATTTGATCATTAATAAGTTAGTTTTATTTCAATCAAAATCAAACTTCTCTATGCATATAAAAAACAACAATATGCTTAAGCAAATCCAAAAATTCAAATCAGATATTGATTTTCTAGCTGCTTAAATCTTTAGCGCCACTAAATCTTTCTCTTGCTCTTTGGTTTTAGAAAAGAAAGAAAAAAAGATTATTCGTTTGTTACTTTTCTTCTAACTCTACTAATTATTTTGAATTGTATGATTGTTTTGATATCTTATTTCTTAGAGAATATACTATTTGCATTTTTTCTTCCTATAGTTTTTTTCAAGGTAACTTATTAGTAAAAAAATTTATGGATTTTTTGGTTAGATTAAAATTCTTAATTTACTCGCGCTATTAATGTATTTATTTATAAATCAAAATTCAATAATAGTAAGCTAATGAAAATATAAAATTATAGGGATGATTTTTTTTTTATAAAAGATAAAATACAGATTTATATAAGTTTCATTAAAAAATATAGTTTTAAAAAAATCTATTTTTTAAAAAGAAAATCAGGTTTTAAATGGAGACTTGCTGGCCATGAATGTCACTTCAAACCATAATGACCAGCAGGCTAAACCCAACCCAACTTAATCTAGCCCAAGACCAGCCCCATACTAGAATCTTCGAATGTACTGAGGTGAAGTGATATTGTGCCCAACGATACACCTGTCATGGCATAATGGAATAGAAAATATGAATAAAAATAGTCTTAACATTAAAAGAAAATAAGAAAAAAGAGAGGGAAAAAAAAAACTAAGACTTGGTCGTCAAGTCTGAAGTTGTTGTGAAGCACGGTGGGGTCATTAAAGGAAAAAGCACGTCATTTTCTCTTTGAAGACTTATTGGCTTTGGATTATGAATTTTCAAATTCTTCTTTAAATCAATAAACACATGTAATTTATTTGTGGGGCAACCAATATCTATCAAAATCCAATGTGTTCCTTATGGAATAAGAGGAACAAATTTTTTGCATATGTGAGGCTGAAAGTTACTTCAGTCATTTTAGAAAAGTGAGGTGGTTTCTAGAAACTACCTCTTTTTCTTTTGTAAAAAATAAAAAAAGGAAAAAATAAAGAAAAGGAAAGAAAAGTAGTTTATAGAGTAGCTTTATTTCTTTAGAAATTTGCTATTTGCTTCTTTTCTTTCTTTTTTTTGATAATTGAATGGAGAAGATAGCCCCCTAGCCGTTTTTACAATGAGATTAGGAGTTAGCTTTTTTAAAAGTGTCGGCGTAGATTTTCATGTGAACAAATAACGTAACCTATATGATGTATAAGAAAAGGGCATACACTCGGGGAGAAACAAAATCTAAGGTCAGTGATTAATCTTAAGAAATGAAATTGTGGGGTTTTTACTTATAGGTTGTTTGTAAAAGGTTGTAACTTTAAACAAAGTAAGACGCACCTTCAAACTTTGTCATAAGATATAATTTTGATGTCGAAAATTCTAAAGATGGTGCGAGAATCTATTTATATCTCTAATTATGAAATTTTAAAATTAAAAAAGAGTTCAAATCAAGCATATCTATAAACACATTAAAATTTTGGATGGTCCAAATAATGTGTTGCACAAATGTTTGGGACTTAAAATTATTATTTTTCTCCATATCTATATATCTCGATACCTAGATGATCGATTAGATGTTTTTCCAACATCAAAACAATTGTTTTCGAAGGAATTTTGCGATGCCCCTTAATTCTACATTTTAAGGTATCGACTGTAAATAACCTTTTTTCTTTTCCTTTACTTATTTAGTTGAATATATATTCTCTTGATCAGCATATAAAAAAACAAAAAGTGAACCCCAGTATTGCCCAATTGTTGGGTAGTCAAGTCTAGTTGTTTAGGTACTTTTTGTTTTTTGTTTTTTTAAAAATATTCATTCGGCGATTCTAAAATTATTAGCAAAATTTACCAAGAAAATCCCCTTAAGTCATTTTCTCGAGAGAGTATATGGCTATTTTTGCTCCGATCCAATAATCTTTCATTGGTAGCACGGTACCGCAGTGTACATTTGTTCCAACCCCCTAAAGATTGCCTTTGGTGATTTACCTTGCCCATAACTTTGAGGTTATTTTATTTCATCCCTTAAGAAGGATGTTGAAAAGAAAATTTATCAAATTGCCGTTACTTATCAAAATCCAAGGATTAAGATAGAGTGTTTCATATATATATATATATATATATATATATCCTACTT